ATAAGATTGGCAAGGGATAGAGCAGGGTTTAGGACTGTTGTACATACGGTCGCTATGAGTCACAGGTGACTCAAGACACATAACAACAATGACAGCTTTATTTGGATGTGATCCTAGGACAAGAATCCAACCACAAGTTGTCTGTTTAGGAAGTGTTTGCAGGAAGCACCAGCAGGGCAGTGGGCATGGAGACTAGGCAGAAAAGAGCCAGTACAGGATGTGTCATGGTTAAGTTCCTACCTTGGGCAACTCGAGCTCAAGCTCATTGGGGACCAGTAGGAGGCAGCAGAGAGCACTCTCCTAGGAACCATCCCATTTGAAGAAGTGAATTGAGGTGTGGATCTACCAATTCCCATCAACTGCTGATCATAGCTGCATCCAAAATTATTATCTCTATCTCTATTCTCTCTCTGACTGCACTGCAGTGGTGAGGTGACAAGAGGAAGCTCTGGAGGCTGTTGTTGTGTGTCATCGAGTCAGGATAATACATAGCTGATTCTCCAGCTGGTTTTCAGAAGCAGTAAATGGTACAGGAGAAGATTGCCCATCTTTCTCCCACACAGCAGCTGGTGGCTTTGAACCACATACTTCAGCTTCTTACCACTAGGCCACCAGAGCTCCCTCTAGTGGCTGTAGGGAATTGTATTTATGAAATCCAAAGCACCTCTCCGGAAGTTCAAATCCACCAGCAATCCCATGCAAGAAGGATGGATGATCTCTTATGCAATTTACAACCCCCTAAAACCCACTGGAGGGTCAGTTCTAACTGGAGAGCAATGAGTTTTACAGAGTGTCCAGTCCCAGCCTTAGGTATCTACCAAGGCAGGAACACAAAAAGAAACCTGTATCAATTTTCACTGCAGCACTCTTCACCATAGAAAAATGTTCAAACAACCCGAATGTCCGTCAACAGCCAATGGATAAACACAATGGAGCACATCCATACAATGAAATTTTACTAAGCCATAAAAAGAGATAAAGTCCTGCTGCCTACCGTATCATGCATTTTTGCTGTTGTTGTTTTTAGGTGCCATCACATTAAGCACAACTCATACCGACCCTATGAACTACAGATCTGAACCCTGACCTATTCTATGACATCCTCACAATCTCTGACACCCTCAAACCCATTGCTGCAGCCACTGTATCCAATCCACTTGGTTGATGGTCTTCCTCTCCTCCATCAACCTTCTATCTTCCCAAGCACGATGTCGCTCTCCATGGAAAAACCCTCTCTAGCAACAAGCCCAGTGTATGTGAGATGAAGCCTCATTGTCTTTACCTTCAAGGACCACTCTGCTGAACATCCATTTATTCTATTGGCAGTCCATGGTACATTCAGAACTCTTCTCCCGAATGGTACAGCAATGAAGAAATGAAAACCCAAAATCCCTGTAAATGTTCATTAAAACTAATAAAATTCAATAATAAAAAAGAGAGGAAAAAAAAGAACTCTTCTCCCACGCTACAGTGCAAAGGCATCAATTGATCTTCTGTTATCCTTAGCCATTGTTCAGCTCTCAGATGCATAGCAAGTGAATGAAAAAACCATGGCCTGAATCAGCCACATCGCTGTCCTCAAATTGATATCATAGCTCCTCAATAACTTGGAGAGATCCCAGACCACAGAGTTTCCCAGCTCAATGTATGTCATGATCACCTGACTACTAAACTGTGGATCCAAGTAAGGTGAAGTTGTTGACAGTCTCAGTCTTTATCTCTCGTTTTGCTACCTACAGAAGGCTGAGCTGAATCAATCACCCCATCAAACCACTACTGTCCAGTTAATTACAAGTCACAGTGAAACTTCACTTACAAGAAGCTGTGGATTGAGACTGATGGATGGGGAGCTGCATGCAACAGACAATTCCTGGGAGCATGGAGCATTTCAGATGCAAGGGGAACAAGGAGCCACAAAGGCGAAAGATAACAAGGAAATGCTCTAGGAAGATAAGAGAGAGGGGCTTATATGAACCTAGAAGGTGTGTTTCTGCAGCAAGGTGAGAGTCTCTGGATCAGAGTTCCAAAAACAAGGCTGTATAGGGCCTTTTGAACTACATGGTCATTTCTTTCCAGGGCTCACAGATGATGGACATGATCATGTCAGATTTGCAATGCAGTCAGACTCCTAATAGCTTGGTTTTAAAAAAAAAATCTACTTATGTGGGTTATTTGAATATGTTCAAATTAGTATGAGCTTTTCTTCTTTTGTTTGTTTTTTATTTTAAATTAAAGGAAGTATGCTAATGTGTTCAGCTTTCTAAAAAGAAGTAAACAACTTGGGATCTATACAAGAGGAATTTTTTGGCACATTAATATAATACATCACAAAACAATTCATAATAAAGGAAAAGAGTTTAAATACACTTCACACGAAGGTAAAACAAATGAAATTGCTACAGCTAAAGTAAATTCCTTAAAAGTAACCCAATTTATAATTAACATCTCAAGCCATCAATATACATAAAGAGAATGCTCTTAAAGTATGAAAAAATTAACTTTCACATTTGGGTTTAACATAGTGCCATTTTAAACAATGTTCTAGTTGTTGTGTACCATGTTCAAGTCAGAATCAGCTCACAGCTCACAGCTCACAGCTCACCCGCCAGTGAGTTTTCAGAGACTTTAAATTGCATGGGAGAAGACTGCCCATCTTTCTCCAGAGGAGCAGCTGGTGGATTTGAACCATGTGCTGTTGCGGAATGTTGAGAAGGAAGGGAGGGCCTCTGGCCAGCCTAAGTTCTAGATAAGTGCAAGCTTCCCAACGGCCTTTAATACAGGGTAGAGAAAGCTCCCCTGTGTTTGGCTGTACCGGCTGCCGCGACTGTTGAGCTGGGAGTAGTCTGCCTGAGGCTGAGGTTCTCCTAACCAATCTGCATGTCCCATGTCTGTAAGCCCAACCTATCCGGTCTTCCTGCTTATATAAGTGCACAGATTCCAATAATATTGAGCTGGATTGACTCTCTGATCATCTCCCGGAGTGGTTTATCTCCATCATGCTTACCCCCATCAGGGTGTCACTGTCAAGTTGCCAGCAAACTGACAGCAACAACATGCCTTTGGGTTGGCAGTGCAACTCCTTACCACTAAACCAGAGCTCCCTGTTGATGCTGTTGTTGTTAGGTGCCATGAAGTAGAATACTACTCATAGCAACCCTGTAGACAACAAATCTGAACCGTTTCCTATATCCTGTGACATCTTCACAACCTCTGACACACATAAGCCCATTTCTACTGCAGTTGTTGTCAATCTATCTGATTGAGATCTTCTCTTTTGTTTACTCTCCACCTTTCTGAGCATGCTATCCCTCTCCAGGGAATAGCCTCTCCTAGTAACATGGCTAAAATATGTGATATGAAGCTTTGTCATCCTTGCTTCCAAGGAGCATTCTGGCTAGACTTTCACCTAGACATAACCATTTGGGGTTTTCTTGGCAGTTCATGGGATATTCGGTACTTTTCTCCAACAACACAGCGCAAAGGCATCAATTCTTCTGTCATCTTTTTCATTGTCGAGCTCTCAGATGCACAACAAGTCACAGAAAAGATCATTATTGGAAAGCTCTGTGAAGAGTGATTTAAACATTTAATGTTTAGCATTTTTAAAAATTATCAAATGATGTTTCATCAGATTATATAATGTCACAAATAGTACTTTATTCTATAAATTATACATATATAGTGAATATCTTAACATACATAAATCTGCTATTATTAACAAGTATGGTAAATTAGCGTTTTAAAAAGAAAATTGCATGTAAACGCAATAATAAGGCACATTCAAATCCAAGAACACATCAAAAATAAAAATGTTCACATTCAAAGATAGTGTGCAAACTTAACAAGGAGGCTATGCAAGAGAATACAAAGAGGGGGTTTCAGCAAGAGCTGTGGGTAAACTTATGTGTTGCTTTTACTTAATGCATCTTGTTGTATAAATTAGTATCAGTTTTGAAAAAAAGAAAATTATTTTCAATAAAAAGTCTGAGCATTATGCTAAGTGAACTAATTCAGTCCCATAAGGACAAATACTGTATAAGACCATTATTGTAGAACGAGTATGAGGATCCAAAGGGGTGGGGGTGGGAGCAAAGGGTGAGGATGGGTGGCACAATTTGATGGGGGGGCGTAAAGGAAATGGGAAATATCTGGTGTGAAAAATAAATTTGGACTTTGTAAATAAACCAGTATTTTAAAAAAATGTAAGTCTGATGGCAGAGTAGATCTGACTCACTTGCTTTATCAGTTTCACACACACCCAGGTGTGGCCACTGCCTTTTGGAGCGCCCTGCTGTCTCTCCTGAGACCCCTGCCTCGCCCCACCCTGCTGAGTCCCGGCGCCCTCATCAACAGGCTGCTCGCACTTGATTTGAGTACAGCTCAGCTTGGTCTGGGGGAGGGACAGATCCCAGCCTTCTCCTGCTTCCTTCCCTTTTAAAAATAAAAAAATATTTTATTTTACTGTTTTTTGTGTTTGTACCATCAAACTGGATCTGACTGGTACAGGAGGATATTGCCCCTGGTGGATTGGAAATGCGCGCCTTTGGAATTGCAGTGCAGCTTCTTGCCACTAGGCCACCAGAGGAGACAGCTAGAGTTCAAGGGCAGGTGCTTAATCTTGGAGACTCCACTCTTAGGTGACAGGTTGCGATCTGTCACCTCAGGTCCCCTCCTTGACTCAGAGCCTCAGTCTTGTCTCTTAAATCCATCTTCATCCCTGGCACTCTCATCAAACACCTCTCACGGCACCCTAGTACCCACAAGTTGATTCCAACCGCGGGAGAACGTGAGGGTCGGTGGGTGAGGGTGGGGGTGTTGGAGGAAGGAGGTCCTGAGCTCAGACACGCCTGTTCTGTCTCCTCCTCTCCTCTGTCTGTGCGGCTCCCAGGCGCCCCTCCTGGCTCCTGGAGAGGCTCAGGCAGGCAGAGGTGACAGCCATTTTCTTCCTGGGAGTCTACTAAGGTAGGTGGGTGCCCTGGGGCGGGTGGAAGGGCCAGGGGTCACTGAGGGTCCCTGGCCAGCGGCTCCACCCGCAGCCACAGCCCGCCCTCGGCGCGCAGGATCAGCTCCGGCTTCCGGCGCGGCTCCAGGTGGTCAGGCAGGACGCGGAAGCGCAGCAGCGTGAGGGCCAGGACCACCTTCATCTCGGTCAAGGCGAAGGCCTGCCCGATGCAGTTCCTGCGGACAGAGAGGGGCTCTGACTGCGCCCAGGATGCGCATCCCCACCCCTACGGCACCTGAAGCCCTCCCCTGGACGCCCACCTCGACCTGACTAGCTGTAGGAATACACACAGAAGGGGCTAAGTGAGCCGGAACCCCTCAGCCTGGGCTTCCATGTCCACTGAGGATGGCGCACAACCCCTAACTGAGCCTAGCGAACCGGGAAGGAGTTCAGAGTACTCGCGGACTGTCCTGGGACCCGCCCCTTTTCCCCTGAAATCTTGTCCATATTCTCCCAGAACAGTAACTCATATCCTCTAAAAGGCACGGCTCCCCCATTCAGGGATGGAGGGCTCTGGCTGCCTCCTAGACTCCGCCAGCCTTCATCCCCTCCTGTGTTGGATGTTCACAGGACTCACCTGGGTCCCGCAGAGAAAGGAATAAACGCCAGCGAGGACCTCTTCTGGGGGTTTTCTGGGTCGAAGCGGAAAGGGTTGTAGACCTGCAGGCAGGAGAGACAGGGTGACTGGGTGGGGTCTGGTAGCACAGCCAGCCCTCGCCCCCAGAGCAAGACAAGCGTGGGTACAACTGGAGGAAACGTGTCTCATCACCCCAGGAAAGACCTGCACCCTCCCTAGGATTGAAAGGGGGAGGGGCAGCACCTCAGGTTCCGGCCAGACTGATGGGTTGTGATGGGTCCCAAAGATACTGATGGTGCAAATGTTCCCTGTGGGGAGAGAGGGGCAGTCAGGATGAGGTCCTCGCTGCCTGATGGGGTCTCCTGCCTTCCCAGGACCTCCCCCATTACCACTGTGGTCACCTTTGGGGATGACACGGCCATCTGGAAGCCCCACGTCCTGGGTACAGCGGCGAGAGATGATGGTGACCGGAGGATGCAAGCGCAGACTCTCCTTAATGCACATGGTGAGGAAGGGCAGCTGGGCCAGGTCATCCCTAAGGAACCCACATCCAGCAATTAACCTGGGAACACACCTTCCCCAGCTTCCGGTCGATTGACAACACCCTCAGACCATCTCCCTCTGACCCCCACCTCCCTATAACAAAATAAATTCCAGAAGAACCAAAGATTGACACATTAGAAAACTAAAATCACAAACGTTCTTGAAGGAATCTTGGCATATAAAAATTTGTTAACATCCTTGAAAGAGTAGATACACTTGCATTAAACTTAATTTCTTTTTTTTACTGCAAAAAAATTAAGTGAACCAAAAGTAAAATGCGGATTCTGATATTATAATTGATAATGTAATATTGTACCGGTGATACTAATACAATTAGATGCAAAATAAAGAAATATGCTGAGAAAGATAAAAATTTTGGCTAGATGTTTTGTTGTTGTTTTTTCACTTGGGAAACAAAACACTATTTGGAGAAAAACTTGACAAGCAATGAGAATTCAGTGAAGAGGCTAAATTAAAATTTTTGTTATTTGTATCCCCTAACTTCTAATTACTTTCCATGTATCTGAGAGCTGGACAATGAATAAGGATAGCAGATGAAAAATTGATGCCTTTGAGCTGTGGTGTTAGAGAAGAGCACTGGATATCCCCTGGATGGCCAAAAGAACAAACAAATATGTCTTAAAGAGGGTGCAGCTGTTGTGCTCTTTGGAGACAAGAATGATGAGGCTTCGCCTCACATACGTTGGGCATGTTGCTAGGACGGGCTGCTCCTTGGAGAAGAACGTGATGCTGGGAAGGGCAAAGGGTCAGCAGAGGAGAGGAAGACCCTTGACCAGACGGACTGATGCCGTGACTGCCACAATGGACTCTTGTATGTCAGGAAGTATGAGGACGGCATAGGATAGAACAGGGCTCTTTTGTTCATAGGGTTGCTGTGAGGTGTACTCGACTCAGCAGCACCTAACAACAACTCATCTTCGTACACATTGGGCATTTTGTCAGGAATAACCTGTGTTTGCGTAAAGGCAACATGCTGGGAAAGGTGAGGGTTGGAAAATGAGTGTAAGACCTTCCAAAGGATGTCCTGACACAGAGCCTGTATCAATGGGCTCAAGTATATCAGAGATGATGAGGGTGATACAGGAGAGAGCAAACTTGAAACGTGTTCTTCATCGGGCTGAGATGAGTCATCTAGACACTTAACCACCACCATCACATCTTGAAAGCGCTAGCCTCTTTAAAGTGCTGATGAGCAAAGATATCATCAGCTTAAAATGCAAGATGCGTGTGACTCCAGCCTTGCTTGCTATTTTCAATTGCTTCATCAGCATGGGAACTTCAGACAATGAATAAAGAAAGCAACCCCCCCCCCAAAAAAAAATAAAAGATGCCTTTGAATTGTGATCCTAGTGAGAAGTTTTGAATATACCACAGATTGCCAAAAGAACAACTCTGTCTTAGAAGCAGTGGGTCTAGGCTGCTCCTTAAGGGCAAAGATGATAAGTTGTTTCTCATATAGTTGGAGCATGATGTCAGGAGGGGCTGGTTCTTGGGAAAAGATATCATGCTTGGAAAAGGCAAGAGTCAGCAAAAGAGAGGAAGTTCCACACCAAGACGTATGGGCACAATGACTGCAACAACAGGCTTGAACGTGTCAGAGCTTTGCAAGGATGGTAGAGATTGTGATCATGGAATGGGAGAGGGCAAGCTTTAAGTCTGTCGTACAGATTGTCATAAGTCAGCTTAATGGGACCTAACTAAAATAATGGGTGTGGGTGTGGGGGGAGCTGTTGTATGTAAAATACAACTAAATCTAACCAAACCCACTGCCATGGAATCCATTCCAACCACCCACGGTGGTTATAGTGACTAAAATTGCCATAGAGTTTGTTGTTGTTGTTGTTGTTGTTGTTATGTGCCGTCGAGAGTCGTTTGCGACTCATAGCGACCCTATGTACAACAGCCCTAAACCCTTCTCTATACTGTGCTAATCTCACTGCCTCTGACACACCCATCCCAATTATCCCAGTCACTGAATCAATCCATCTCATAGAGGGTCTTCCCCTCCTGCGCCAGCCCTCCACCCACCCAAGCATGGTGTCCCTCTCCAAGGACCTGCCCATAAAAATTACAGGACAAATGGCCTTCTCTTTCTCCTACAGAGCTGCTGGTGGATTTGAACCTCCAACCTTTCAGTAGCAGTCCAAATTTTATTTTTTAATAAAATTTTTTTATTTTATACAGGTTTACCTACAAGGTTCATATACATTGATTTTCACACCAGATCTTTCCCATTTCCTTTACCCACCCCTCCCTCCACCCTTCAAATTGTGCAACTTTATTATTTAACGCCCTCCCACCACCCATCCTCACCCTTCTGCTCTCCCCTTGTGCCCTCATACACATTTTACTGGTTATCTTTCTACTTCTACAATAATGGTCTTACACAGTATTTGTCCTTATGGGACTGAGTTAGTTCATTTGGCACAATGCTCTCCAGTCCCTCCCAAGTTAGGAAGAGATTTTCAAAATCATTACTCCTGAATGCTGTATAGTATTCCATTATGTGAATGCAACATAATTTCTCAATCCCTTCAGTTGTTGTTGGACATTTGGCCTGTTTCCATGTTCTTGGGATGGTGAATAAAGCTGCTATGAATATTAGTATACAAAGAAGCCCAACTCTTAATTCATTGTGCCATCAGGGTTTCATCCAATAATCCAACACTACCATAGAGCTTGAAATTCGGAGTGTCAGAGGAAATTTATCCTCATACTCCTGTTGTCCAAAACCTTTCCATTCCCTTCTAGTTTCTATAACTCTTTCCAAAGCTCCATTCTTGCATCATAGTTAAAAACTTTAGTAGCCCTAGAAATAGACCCAGATATCTATGGTCAACTGATATTTGACAAGGAAATAAAGCCTATCAAATGGGAAAATGACAACCTCTTCAACAAATGATACTGGAAAAACTGGACTTCTACTTGTGGAAAACTGAAGCAGAAGCCACTTTTCACATCATACATAAAAATCAACTCAAAAGTGGATCAGAGACTGGGGAGTAAAGCCCCAAACCATAAAGCTCATCAGAGACAAACTGAGATCAAGCTTAGATGGCCTAGTCTATGATATAAAGGGACTGTCAAATACAGCCAGAAATGCTCAATCTGGAGAGAATAAAATTGATGAATGAGACTTTCTAAAGATTAAATCCCTGTGCACATCAAAAACATTTTGCAACAGAGTGAAAAGAAAATCTATTGACTGAGGAAAAAAACATTTTACAACCCCATTTCAGACAAGAGCCTCATATGAACAGTTTACAGAATCCTACAGGACCTCCACAAGAAAAAGGCTGATCACACAATTACAAAATGCGCAAAAGACATGACAGGAATTTTCAGAGGAAGATACGGGATGGCCAACACACACATGAAGAAATGCTCAAAATCTCTGGCAATAAGAGAGATGCAAATCAAAACCACAATGAGTTACCATCTCATTCCAGTAGCAGTGGCCAAGTTTAACAGGACAGCAAGTAACAAATGTTGGAGAGGATGTGGTGAGCTAGGAACTCTTATACATTGTTAGTGGAATTGTACAATGGTACAACTACTCTGGAAAGCACTTTGGCACTTCCTCAAAAAGCTAAACATAGAAATTCCATATGACCCAGCTATTCCTTTGCTTGCATTGTACCCTGAGAAAATGATAACTGAGGCACAAATGGAGACTTGTATACCAATGTTCATAGTAGCATTATTCACCATTGCAGGAACATGAAAACAGCCCAAATGTCCAACAACAATCTAATGGAATGAGAAATTATGGTACATTCACATGATGGAATACTACGCAGCACACAAGAGCAATGATTTTGTAAATTACTGTCTAACTTGAGAGGGACTGGAGAGCATTATGCTAAATGGACTAACTCAGTCCCATAAGGACAAATACTATATAAAACCATTATTATAAAATGAATAAGTATAAAGATCCAGAGGGGAAGAGCACAGGAGTGAGGATGGGTGGGGTGGGGGGATTAATCATAGGGTCACACAATTTGATAGGTGGGATGAGGTGAAAGAAATGGGAAGCATCTGGTGCAAAAAACAATGTATACAAACTTTGTAAACAAACCAGTATAAAACATAAAAAAAAACAAACCCAAAACATCAGTGAAACACTACTAGTGTACTCTATGGAGTGTCTGAGTGGTGCAGATGGTGAAAGCACTTAGCTACTAATCAATGAGATGGAGATGTGAGCCCATCCCAGGGGTGCCTTGAAAGAAAGACCTGGCAATCTGCCTCTGGAAAACCAGCTGCTTATAGACAAGAAGAAAGTAATAGAAAAGGGAACTAATGTTACTCAAGTTGCATGACAAGTTACGGTGCATCAAACACTGATAGTCCGATCTTTCTAATGGTAAAACCTACAAGCTTTTCTTACTGACCAGGCTGGGTACTCTGGTCTCTGCCCCTATTGCCATTAAGCAATAACAAGAAACTGGTAGCAAGATCTTCTGGGCCCCTGTACTTACACTGGGCAAAGCCAAGGAAAGCAACTTCAAGGAAAAGACCATGAGGGCTTGCACTCACCATTCAATCTCCTCCACCTGGCGATCCTTCAGGAGCTCTTGCACCTCCTGCCGGCAGCGCTCCTGGTATCCTGGGTGCCTTGCAAGGTTGTACAGGACCCAGGAGAGGCCACTGGCTGTGGTGTCATGGCCTGAGGGGCAGCCAGATAGGACTGGATCAGTGGCTTGCTCAGCACCAGGGGACAGACAGCATTGAGATCCTCATGGAGGATGGAGAAGAGGGGGCAGGCGGAGAGAGTGGAAACAAAACCTCTGTCCCCAGTGCAATTTCAGTGCTGGAACTCTCACCCCCAAACATGAAAGTGTCAGCCTCTGCTCGGATGTCCTCATCTGACAACTCCTTCCCATCTTCATCCTGGAGAGAGGCACCATCCCTGAACCACACCAGTTCTAGACCTCAACATTCATCACCCACACAGTATCCCTCCCTGGCCATCTCCACAGCCCTTGGTTCAGCTCAGGCTTCCTTCTTGTCTCCTTGCTTCTTCAGACAAAATTCCATTGAACAACCCCTAGTTATTGTTGTTGTTATTATTAGGTGCAACTGAATAAAGTACAACTCATAGCGACCCAATGAACAACAGATCTGAACACTGTCCTATCCGGTGCCATCCTCACCATTTCTGACAAATTGGAACCCATTGCTGTAGTTGCTGTGTCAATCCTTCTCATTGAGGGTCTAATACACATCTCTAAACCATCTCTTTCTCCTGTTCTAGCATCTTCTAGAGTTTCCCAGTACCTTCAGAATCAAACTCAAGCTCTTCTATATGACATTTTAAATTGGAGTCCCATCCACCTCTCCAACCCACGTCCCAGAGGAGCCCCACCTTGGCCAGCAGAAGCACGTCAATGAAGTCAAAATTCTTGGCCTTATCTTTAGCCTTGAGGAAGCAATCAACACCCTGAGTGGCGAGGGTACGACGCCGCTCCTGGATCACAGCGTCCGTGAATCTGTGCACCAGTTCACAAGCTCTGCGGAAGCGTCGCCCGTCGAAGGTAAGGTTGTACAGGAAGTCCATGTACAGGAAGATTTGACGTTGCCGTTTCACTACAAGGGCGCTGAGCTCCAGGATGGCAGCAATATATTTGCTGGGATGCCTGCAAGGTCAAAGTCAGAGCCAAGCTGGGTATTCTTTAACACATGAAACTCTGGAAATATCTCCCACCCTGAACCACAAAGACTATGCCAGGTCGAGGAAAGGATGCCACTAGGCTTGCATGTCTCCCTGCACTCTTAGCACTTGGAGTTTCCTCCAAGCACTAGGAAACCAGTCAAGAGTTTGAGCACCATGCTTATGTCTCTCTCCTACTCAACGTCCAGGGAGCACTTGTGGCCTAGCAGTAAGGAGTTGCACTGCCAACACAAAGGCATGCTGTTCAAATCCACTAGCTGCTCTGCAGGAGAACGATGGACAGTCCCCTCTCCTGCAATTAATTGCCTCTGAAAACCCACTGGATGGTCAGCTATGGGTCGTTTTCTGACTCGACAGTACACACCACCACTCAACATCTGGCCCTACCTGTTCTTCTACACCTTTCTCTCTCATGTCTCCCTCAACCGCATCCACCATTCTCAGACCTCCTCAATCCAGTCACAACATGACAGGCAGTCTTCAAAAGTCAGATTTCTCACTGCACTGCAATCCCAGAGGTACGCGGTTCAAATCCACCAGATGCTGTGCTGGAAAAGGAGAGGGCAATCTCCTCCTGTACCAGTCAGATCTGGTTTGACAGTACATGTAAAAATAATACAATAAAAATTTTAAAAAAAGTCCAATTTCTAAAGTTCAGCTCTGACCACACCCTTCATCTGCTCACTTTCCACGGTTCCCTGAAAACTTCAGAAAGAAAGTCTTAAAATCAGGGTGTGGGAAGCCAAACTTTATATCAAATACTATATGAAAACCCTTGTTCATGAATTGAAGGAATTACGAATTTATAAGTTAGAATTTCTCTTGTGACAGATCACAGAAAATGAGCTGTTTGTTCCCTGTAGACAGGAGACAGCTAGGGTCCCCCTACAAAGGGAGTGTTACTTCCTGTGAAATCCTTCCTGAGCTAGAGCATTAGGTTGACAATAGAGAAAAATTCAGCTTCATTTACAAGGAATTCCTTTTATGATTGGCTTCCCCTGATTATCAATGAAGACACAGAGAAACATGAGTTGGGGTCTTCAGTCGAGAACTGCTGGCCCCGTTTTATGCTCTCTGTTCTATCTCATTCCTGACTGTCTGACTCATTATTAATAATTATAAAAATACTTTACCCTCCATCTGCAACATCAGGGTCTTAAAATCGAGTCCCTGCCTCCCTTTCAAACTTCATATCCTTGGTATCTCTTCACTGACTGTTGCCTACACTTTGCTTATCCTAGACTTCTTCTTAGGATAAAAGCAAGAGAGACTTAGCTGGAAGGACCCCTCTTTAGCTCTTCTTTCCCCTATCCTTCAATGCCCAAGTCTGACTCACCTCATCCAGAAAGCGTCTTCAGATTGCCCCTGGTAGACCTCCCTCCCAGCGTTCCCCTTGGGCCAATGGTCTAAGTTCCCATATCCAGAGTGAGGACTCACTCCTGGCAGTGGCTGTCATAGCTGAAGACGCATTTCTGCAGACTGTCCAGGGTCATGAGGCTGATGTGTTCAAACATGTCCAGGCGGGCACTGTGCTCCAAGGTCAGGCGCTGCCACTTGGCCTGGTAAGAACAGGGGAAATTTAGTGCTGGGCTCTTTTCTCAGCTGAGACCCTCACCAGGACTAATAACCATGATCTACTCAACCTAGACCCTAGCTTCCTGGTCCCCCACCAAGCAAACCCATGCAAAGAAAAAACCAAATTTGGATAGGAGTGGAAGCTGTCACTATTAGGAGGTGAAACACAATACACTGGGAATTAGGAGACCTGGATTCAGGTCCTAGCCCTGTCCCTATGTCCTGTGTGTCCCTGATCTCATTGCCTCACCCTGGGTCCCAATGTTTAATATTCAATAACAGTAAAAATGACCTTCTTTGTCATCAGTTAAAGCAGGCAGAAATGCAAATCCACCCCTTATTAACTCACTTGCTCTATGGGTCTACCTGAGAAAGCTTTGAAATTTCTCTGAGCCTGTTTTCTCAACTGTAGTGTGGCAAATCAGTCCTCTCTACTTTATGAGGCTGTGAAATTTAACTGACACAATATGTGCTGTTGAATTGACACATCATTTCTGGCATATCGATGGCCTGTCTTCCAGAATCACAGCAATATGAAAACCATGACAGAATGACAACCCAACAGATGAGGGGTGGGGTTTGACAAATAGAATGTGGTCTGAATTATAGAGTACAGCAGTTCTTAAGGTAGACTTCAAAAGCTACTCTTGTATCTGTTTCCTCCCTTAAAGGAAAACCTCCATCATATGATCAAGCCTGGGCCAGTCCACTGGAGCATGAAGAAGAGATGAGGTAGACCAGTTGTCCCAGCTGAAGCCATCAAGGATCAGCCTGTAGTCATCCAAGACCAAACATGTAAGAGAACCCAAGTGAGCCAGAGAATGGCTTTTCTGATTAATGAGTAATGTTGTTGTTATTTGCTACTGAATCACCTACAACCCATACCTGCCCTGTCCCAAGCCTGTTTCATTGTCTCCAACACATCTAACCACATTATCCCAGTAACTGTATCAATCTGTTTCATCCAGAGTCTTCCCCTCTGTGCTGTCCTTCCACCCTTCCAAGCATGATGTCTTTCTCCAATGACTGGTCCCTCCTGACAACGTGCCCAAAGTACGTGAGACGGAGCTTCAAAATTCTTCATGGAGAAACTTGGTTTCACCCTCTCCAGGACAGGTTTCACCCTCTCCTGGACAGGTTTCACCCTCTCCTGTTTGTTCTCATGGAATGTTCAACATTCTTCTCCAGCAACACAATACAAACACATCATTCCTTCTTCTGTGATCCTTAGTCATTGCTGAGCTCTCTGATGCATATCAAGCAAAGACCATAGATGGCCTGGACCAAGTGCGCCTTCGTCTCCAGACTGACATCATTGCTCTTTAGCACTTTGAAGAGGTCTCTGACTGCAGTTTTTTTCCCAATGAAATTCATCTTTTTATTTCCTGAGTGCTGGTGCCAAGAATGTTATAGAACCAAGCAAGCTCAAATTATTAACAATCTCAGTTTCCTCTCCATTTATCATCATGCTGCCAAGAGGCCTAGTGGTGATAATCTTTGTCTTCTTGATGTTGAACTTCAACCCATATTGAAGACTTCAGTATTCAATTCAATCCATATTGAAGACCTTCTGCAACAAGTGGTTCAAGCCTTTCTCATTTTCGACATGGTTGTGTCATCTGCATAATGCAGGTTGTTGATGAGTCTTCCTCCAATTCTGATGACACATTCCTTCTCATAAAGCCTAGCCTCCCAAATTATTTGTTCCACATATAAATTGAAAAGGTGTGGAGACAAGATGCATCCCTGACACACTCCTTTCTCGACTTTGAACCATGCAGTGTATCCTTCTTCTGTTTAGGAATTCCCGTTCTTCTCAAAGCTAGCCAGCCACATTCCAGGTTTGGTTTGTTTTTTTAGCAAGTAAGGTTTGAATGTGTCTGTGGTACATAAATAGTTGATATAGAGTCATTCTTTTTTTTTTCTCATCAATTCTGTCTTAAGTTTGGAGTTCCTGAGTGTTGTAAATGGCTATTGTACTCAGGTACAAACTAAAACATTAGAGTCCAAGTCTCCTCAGAACCATCTCAGAAGAAAGGCTTGGTGATGCCTTGAAGGGGGGGAAAAGTCATTGAGAACGCTCTGGAGCAGCTCTACTCTTGAATGCTAGAATTCAAGAATATTCAGGACTGGTTTTGATTTCTGCTATATAATACGTTCTTCTTGTTGTTATTGTGGATTGCTGTCGAGTCGAGCACAACTCATAGTGACCCTATGAACAAAAGACCTGAAACCTTTCTATAACTATCATCCTTTCTCAAAGTTCCTAGAGTTTCCAGAGGCATGAAGTGGATGCCGCTCTGCTTCCGATGTATAACATGGGATATAGTTTAAAAGATATAGAAACTTGATACTGGTAACAATCCCCTGAGCTTTCAATTGTAATACAATAGCCCCCTTTCTCATTCAGTCAAAGTTACTGTCTCAAGAGATAAGCAGCAAGCAACTTTGCTCACTCCAAGGACAAATCAACAAGAGAAGACAAATGGACATTCTTTGTGTCTGTGGGAAAGAAGATAAAAACTGTAAAGCCAGCCTGAATACTACTGAAGTCAGCATAAATCTGTGTTAAAAAGTAAAAACTTCATTTCAGTATGTTGTCTCTCCTATAACCACGGAGAGTAAATCATGTAATGAGAAGTGTCAGTCTCTATAAAAGGCCCTTACCCACATAAAGATTATTTGACTGTCTGAATCAAAGTGGCCCAGGCCTGTTCATCTCAGTTCACCAATGCCTAGAATATCCATCTTCATATATTCCAGTTCAATTTTTTTACAACTTCCAGTTTTTCTACATTCATATCTCCTGCATTCCAAGTTCTAATTATTAAAGAATGCTAACAGCTATTTCTTCTCACTTTAAGTGACTTTCAATCTGGGCTCTACCTCTAATACTGTATTTCTCTATCATTCAGAAGGTTTTCAGAAGCCTATTATTTCAGAAGTGGATGGATAATCCTACTTCCTAGTCTATCATAATCTGGGAGCCTTCCTGAAATATGCCCACCATGGGTGACCCTTCTGGCATTTGAAATGTCTGTGCAATAACTTCCATAATCACAGGAACTCACAAATAATCCCAATACAGCAAACTGTAAGACAAGTGCTGTATTAATAAAAAGCAAACAATAAAAAAGCAAGTATATACACACCTAAAGTATTTGTTGTTGTTATGTGCCAATTGCTCACTATGTGTCTGAGAGCTAGACAGTGAATAAGAATGACAGAAGGAGAATTTTTTTTAACTGTGAGGTTGGAGAAAAGTGCTGAACATCCCATGAACTTCCAAAAGAACAGAAAGATATGTCTGGAGAAAAGTGCACCCAAAGTGCTCCTTGGAGGCAAGGATGGTGAAGCTTCATCCTACATGCTTTGAACATATTGTCCCCTAAGAGAGGCTATTCTTTGGAAAGGACATCATGCTTGGAAATGTGGAAGGTCAGCAAAAGAGCGGAAGACCTTATATGGAAAGGATTGACACAGTGACTGCAACAATGGGCTCTAGTGTGTCAGAGACAGTCAGATGGCACAGGATAAGGCAGGGTTCCAGTCTGTTGTTCATAGGGTCACTGTGAAGCATGTTCAACTCAACAGCATCTAAGAACAATGTAAAAACCAAAGGCAGAGCTTTGTGTTGCCATCCAGATCCAATTAAAAGTGTTGTTGTTTTTATGTGTTGTGGAGTCATTTGCGACTCATAGCGACCCTATGTACAACAGCCCTAAATCCTGCTCTATCCTGTGCCAATCTCACTGTCTCTGACACACCCATCCCGATTACCCCAGTCACCCAATCAATCCATCTCATAGAGGGCCTTCCCCTCCTCCATGAAAATAATTTTGTATATTTATTTATTTGATCTTGCAACAGTAAAAAGAAATTTTTGTGCTGTAACACTCTGACAGATAAACAGCCAACAGGACTCAAAGTTAACTACAACTGGTGATACTGAGCTTGCAAGACTTCTATAAGGGATCTTGAAAATTAACACCTACTGACACTACCACCACTTGTACATCAGTTTGTCCTGCTGTAGTGATATGTATGTTGCTATGGATGCTTAATAGATTGAATGTATTGTACTTTAATGACTAAACACGAGACATCAAGGACATCATCTATGAAGAAAGCATAAGGTCATTTAGAGAAGACTTTGACTTGCTCTTGAATGCAGTGTAGATAAAGCAAATTGAAGAAATGATGACATAGAAGAGCTTCAACAATTTGAGGAGGTAATATCAAATGATCAATACTCAGTAATTCAGAAGGAAGATGTCCAAGCTTCATTGAAGGCATTGAAAAGACAAAAAAAAAGATTCTAGGAATCCATGTATCAAGATGTTTCAACAAGTAAATATAACACCAGTACTTACTCATCCATGCCAAAAAATTTAGAACACAATCATCTGGCCAACTGACTTGAAGAGGTCTATATATATGCTTACTGGAAAGAAAGCTGATCCAATAGAAATTACCACATAATACATATAAGTACAAGCAAAATTTTGCTGAATTTTAAACTGGTTGTAGGTGTGTATCAACATGACTGCCAGAAAAAAAAAAAAACATGACTGCCAGAAATTCAGTCAGGTTCAGAAGAGAACATGGAACTACAGGTATCATTGTTGATGTTAGATGAAAACTGAATGAGAGTGAGCAGAAAGATGTTGGCCTGTGTTTTCTTGATTGTGCAAAGGCATACAACCACGTGGAGCGTAATAAATTATGGGTAACACTGAGAAGAATGAGAATTCAGAAGCATTTACAGTGCTTATTCGGGACCTGTGCATAAACCAAGAGGTTTGATGAAAACACAGGGAAACTACATGCTTTAAAATTAGAAATGATGTGTGCCAGGTTTGCATTCTTTTACTATGCTTAGCCAATCAGCAAATTCAAAACCAATTCAGCTGAGCAAATAATCCAAGAAGCTGGAAAATCCAAGAAGAACACAGACTAGAAGACTTAACTACCTGTGATATGAAGATGACACAATTTTGCTTGCTATACATAAACAGGACTTGAAACACTTACTAAAGAAGATAAAGGTCTACAGTATAATATATTCCAACATAAATAAACAAAAGTCCTCACAACTAAACCAATAATCAACATCCTGCAAAATGGAAAAGTATTGAACTTGTCAATTATTTTCTTTTCCTTGAATTCACAAGCAATGTCTAAGGAAGCAGTAGTCAGGAAGTCAAATGACATATTGCATTGGGCAAATCTGCTGCAAAAAGTTCTCATTAAAGCATTGAAAAGTGAAGGTGTCACCTAGAGGACTAAGGGACACCTGACCCAAGTCATATTGTTCTATTACTTCATATACATATGAAAACTGGATAATGAATAAAGTAGATTGGAGACAAATTAATGCCTTTGAATATGCTATTAACAATAAATATGGACTATACCATAGACTTTCAAAAGAACACACAAATCTTGAGATAAATACAGTCAGGCTGTTCTATAGAAGGAGGATAGTGAGACTTCCTCTAATGTACTTTGGACAGATTATCAACAGACTCCAGTGTGAAGACAATATACTTGATAATGTTGTTGTTGTTGTTGTTGTTGTTGTTGTTTATTCCCTTTGAGTTGAGCATGACTTGTAGCAACTCTATGAACAAAAGGCCTGTAACTATCAACATTTATCAAAGTTCATAGAGTTTCTGGAGGCATGTTGTTTAGAAAGTGGATGCCACTCCAGTGAAAAGAAGATCCTCAATGAGGTGGATTAACAAAGTGACTGCAACAATGAACTAAACTATATCGGTAATAAGAGGATGGGGAGCTCTGGTGGCCTAGTGGCAAGAAACTGTATTACAATCCCAAAGATCCGTGGTTTGAATCCCACCAGCTGTTCCATGGGAAAAGGATGGGCACTCTCCTCCTGTGTGATTAACTGCCTCTGAAAACCCACCAAAGCATCAGCAATGGGTTGGTTCCAGCTCAATGGTACACAAAAACAATGAGAGGATGTCCTTCATTGTGTTGTACATGAGACTCCTGTGAGGGGGGACTGACTCCCTGGCACATAACAATGAGCACTTACTAATGCCCTTGGATAATGCAAATAGGTTTGTCCATGGCTACTGAGTTTCTGGCTCAAATACACCAGCAGCAGTGCAAAAGAAAAATCTGGTGATGTACTTCTGTAAGATTTTAGAGTTGTACAGTTTGGTGAGTGGAGGGAGGAAGTAAAGGAAATGGGAAAGATCCAATGGGGACCGGAAAAGACAGGGTAGTGGTGGATATATTCCAATGTTGATTAATTTTATAAACCATTATGAATGGGAATGATTGTATGAAATACAATGTAAATGAAGAATAGTGTGAAACACAATGTATATGAACTTTATAAGCAAACCGATATGAAATAACAAATTTTTTAAAACAAACAAAAAATATTTTAGCCATCAAAACCCCAATGGAGCCCGTCCTATTCTAAAACACATGGTTCTCCATGCTTTGGAATCAACTCTACAGTTAACTAATTTGCCTTTTTCTTTGGTAGGTTGATTGGTTTGGGGTTTGGAGCATCTGCTGTGTGTCAGTGACATGATTCCATTGTGTTACCTTGAGGACTATTCAAAATGGGGACCATGATCCCCACTTAATATATGGAGAAACTGAGGCTTCGGGAGGAAGAGCAATTGCTCCATAGTCTCTGAGCCAAGTCAGAACTCCACATCGGATCTGTCTGTGGTCCCTCCCCACAAGGATCCTTCAGAAACTCAGGGTTCGTGGGACTCACGTGCATGATGTTGGCACTCGTATTGAAAATCTTCACATAGAGCTTCAGGATGTTGAAGTGGAAGGCTGGCGTCAGCAGGCGGCGGTGGTGGCTCCATTTGTCACCATCACTCAGCAGGAGCCCATCCCCTGTTAGGGGCAGGGACCGGCAGTGAGCAAAAGCCACACCTTTGCTGGATCCAAAGATGATCTCCAACCTCCTTCACCCATAGTTACTCACCCAGCCAGGGCTTCAGGAAGCCATAGAAAAACACGTCCTTGGGAGCAACTGTGGCTGACATGAGAGATGGACCGTGAGAGACAATGAGAAGACCAAGGGGAGGCCCCGCGGGTTGTAGCATGGGTTCTACCCTTCTACCAGCCAACCCCAGGTTAACAGCGTTGCGGACCAGGGCAGAGGAAGCAGGGAGGAAAAAAAGCCATGGGGGTGGGGGGCAGACCAGGCTGCAGCAGCAGATACAGAGATGCAGCCCACTATGCTAGACAGTCCCTGTTAAAAACAAAATTGTGTCCCCTTCAAATGTGTTGTAAATACCAGCTTCTAAACCAGTGCTTAGAATGGCATTAGGGAATGAATCTTCTTTATTATATTAATTAGGCACAGTTGGTATAGGATGTATCATCCATCAATCTCTTTTTGCATTATAAAACAGATTAACTCCAAACTAGAAGACATGAGGTGTGAGAGATACCAGGCTACATGAAGATAGCCCAAGAGCAGATCAGAATTGGCAAGAACTTTCCTCCAGAGCCAACAGAAACAGAGCCTTCCCCTAAAGCCAGCATCTTGAATTCACACTTGCAGCCTATTAAGAGATAAACTGCTCTTCGCTAAAACCATTCATTTGTGATGTATCTGTTATAGCTAAGAAACACTCTAACATAGAACAGCATGGCCCAACACACCTTGATATCTCCACTGTCCTGAAGCATTCCCGAAACACCAGGCACAGTCCAATACTCTACAAAGAGCATTGCATGAACCAAGGGCATCCTGGCACTGCTCAGCCTCCACTGACATCTCCTGATGACCTGAGACAGGTGACATGACACCAATGCATGCTTACATGCCTTGATGTTGCCTCACACACGTGAAATATTTAAGGCATGTCACAGCATGCTATAACATGGACCAAAAACACCTGAATATCTCCACAGGCCCTGGACAAAATTCCAATATGGTCACGTTAATGTACCAGGATGGAGTCCTTTAGGAATAGGGATGAACAACTAACTAAATAGTGCTCAGCAACTAACCAGCGGTCAGTGGTTCAGACTCATCAGCTGGTGATTAAGGATTTTCCGTAAAGATTTAAATCTTTGGCAGGGACAGGAAAGGAAATGAGAAAGATATGCCCGGGATCTGATAAGACAGGGTAATGAAGGACATGGTTTAATGTTGTTGTTGTTGTTGTTGTTGTTGTTGTTGTTGTCATTATGGGCCATTGAGTGACCTGCTATGTAAAGCGACCCTGTGTACAGCAGCTCTGAAGCCTACCCTGTCCTGAGCCAGTCTCACTAATTCTGACACACCAACCCCCATCGCCCCAGATATTGTATCAATCCATCTCATCTCCCTCTCCTCCGCTGTCCCTCCACCCTTCCAAGCATGATGTCCTTCTCCAAGGACCAGTCTCTCCTGGCCACATGCCCAAAGTATGTGAGACAGAGATTTTATAAAATATAATGAATGAGAATGATTGTATGAAACACGTTGTGAATGAAGGGTAGTGTGACACACAATGTATATGAATTTTGTCCACAAACCAGTGTAATTTTTAAAAAGAACCCTAAATTATATATATATGTGTGTGTGTGTGTGTGTGTGTATACGTATATATATGTGTGTATGTATGTGTATATATATATGTATGTATGTGTATTTAAATCTTCTGGGGAAGTTCTGTTCTGTCCTACCCTGTCATTGTGAGTCAGAAATAGCATACCTGCAGAGGGTTTGGTGGATAATACAGCAGCTAGGAGTCCCTGATGGTGTGAATTGTTAAACTATTGACAGCTAACCTGGAGGTTAGCAATTTGAGCCCACTCAGCGGTGCTTCAGAGGAAGGGCCTGGCATTCTGTTCCTGAAAGGTTGCAAGTTTGAAAACCCTACAGAGCCGTTCAGCTCTGGACAGGGGGCATCTCCACAAGTTAGTCTGTTGAGTCTGTTGTTGTTTTAATGTCCCAGATTTTGTCCAGAAATGGCTCATATCAATCTTAGGAATCCCTGCCATCAAGCTTGGGGGTACCATAATGAAGATCCTAAAAAGACCAGAAGACACCCAAATCCACGTCTATGCTGAGCTCTGCCCACCAGAAAAAGCTGTCACTGCTCCCTCCAGGCCCCAGAACAGCCCCTAAGGTCCACGTAAACACTATAGGCCTGCCTGAAGTTTAACAGATCTTTCCCTGCAAAGCTGATCTACCTTTCTGCTTGTCTTCTCTCCCAGCAGAGGCTGCAGGGACAGCCAACCATGCACAGACTAAGAGGTGCCTTTCAGTGTGTTCTACGTTCATGACAAAGTCCCTTTGCATCCTTCAATTTCCACACCAGGAAACATCCACTTCTCAGGGCTGCCAGGGGATGGATGTCTAGGATTTCTGCCTAGCACTTCTCTTGTTTCTTCTGATACCGGTAGCACCACATTCCTCTGGAGAACCACTCACCTTGCCCCATAGTCCAAATAACTGGGAAATAGTTACATCACCTGAGCCCCTACTCAAGAGTTAGCGTATGACCCTAAATCTCAATGAGTTCAGTGATTAGATGAGAAATGGATCGTGCAATATGAGGTAGCCAACTAAAGTGAATCCTAGACCTTTTGCTGAGACTGTGAGAACGTCCTTAATTTCTCATGGGCACTGAGCTTCTGAGACTCATTTGCAGTGATCTGGCATAAGGGAGAAGCCATCAGAGCAGAACTGAGAGAAGAAGATAGATTCCTGACAACATTGTTGGTGACCTGGATTCAGCTGTGCCTGAAGGCAATGCCCACTTGAGTGAATGAAACTTCAGAGAGTAGAGCCCTGCCCAGCGCCACCCAGCTGGTTGATGGTGGAGCCTCAGCCTCTAATATATACTGCCCATTACCCTACCCATCCCCCAAGCCTGGTCTGTCCACCGGAAGAAAGCATATGGAGCAGGGGTAGGAGAACGCTGGGTCACAGGAATTTCAGCAAAAGGTACCTGGGGCCTGAAGCAAGGGGGCAATAAACTTAGGGTGGACGATACGCAGGACAGGAAAGATGGGCCCAGCCCACCAGAGATGGACATCACGGAAGAAGTGGCTCAGCTCCTCCAACAGCCGCAAGCCCTCCTCATCGCTCTTGACCTAGAGATAATAAAGTTGGTGCCAGGCCTGGCGGGGGCCTCCACTGCTGCCATCAGCCTCAAATTCCTGCCTCCTTCTGCCTGACTTATTGGTCCACACCTCTCCTAATCTCGAAAGATCTATCCGTCTCTGCAGGTTTGTCTCTCTCCCTCTCTGTGCACCTCTTCCTGTCTCCTTACTTTCAACCCCTTTCTTCCCCTTTCTGTCTTCTGGTCATACTCTCTTGTCTTTATCTCAAGCTCTAACTGTATTCCTCTCCCTAACTCTGTCCATCTTTACCTTTCACTCTTCATGTCCCTGTATTTCTGTTCTCTCTGTCTCTGAGTTTGTTTCTTTCTCTCTCCCTTAATTTTATTTCTGAGTATCTTTCTTTTCTTCTTTCTTTCTTTCTTTCTTTCTTTCTTTCTTTCTTTCTTTCTTTCTTTCTTTCTTTCTTTCCTCTCTGTCTTGTCTCTTTCTCTGTCTCGCTTTCTCTCTCTGCTTCCTCTTTGTCCTCTATTTCTCCCACTGCCATCTCTCCATAACATTCTCTGTCTCCCCTTTCCTCTCCATACCTTACATTTCACCCTTCCCATTCTAAGAGAATTAATAATTTTATCCCATTCGGGATCTGAGAGCTCTGGTGGCTTAGTGGCAAAGCATTGCACTAACAACATAAAGATTTGGGTTTGAATCCACCAACTGCTCCATGGGGGAAAAGGATGGACAATCTTCTCCTGTGCTATTGACTGCCTCTGAAAAGCCACTGGAGGGTCGGCTATTGGTCAATCCTGACTCGAGAGTACTCAGAAAAACTATCTCATCCAATTTACTTCTCCCTTCACTTCAGCTTTGCAGAAAACCTTTTTTTACACACCAAACCTTCCAGGGATTCCAATGCTCTCCCATTCCTGTTTCCCCAAATATTTCTTTTCTGCACAATAAACTGAAACCATTAGCAAAAATAGACCATCACTGGGGCAAGTGTAGACACAGCTCCTTCCTCCAACCTGGCTGCCCAACCCCAGGCCTAGAGCCTTATCCCAGCTTCCCAGTGCACCATGGCTGGTATAGGGGAAGGCTTCAGGGTGACCTTTCTAGTGGACAGACTGCCCAGACCAGTGGCACATGCCCCCCACATCTGTGCTGTTTACATTCCATTGGGAAAGATCGAGGTGGACTCTAGAGAGGACTAAATTAAAGTGGAGGGAAATGAGAAGCCACTGATAGGGAGTAAAGACAGGTGGGAGAGGAGAGCAAGAAGGGAGGGATTAAAGGCCAAGGACTATGGGTTGGTTTAGGTTCTTCCAAGTTTGGAGTGCTTGGGTACATGGTTTCTTGAAAGAGTGCTCTCAGAAAGAGCTGGAATAAAGTCAGGGAACCAGACAGGATTTAGGGAGAAGACAGATCAGAGCTTAGCAGGTATCTGGTTTCAGCTGGACCCTGAGAGGAGTTCCGCATTTGCACCTGAGACACATGGCACCAAGCACTGCACCTGAGACAAGTGAAGGCTTCTGGGTAGCTAAGTGCTCCTTGGAGGCAGAGATGATGAAACTGCATCTCACATACTCTGAACATGTTGTTGGCAGAGGTGAGTCCTTGGAAAGGGACATCGCCCTTGGAAACATGGAGGGCCAGAGAAGGAGAAAAAGACCCTCAACAAGATGGATTGACACGGTGACTGTAGCAATGGGCTCAAGTGTGTCAGAGTTGATGAGGATGGCACAGGACAGGACAGGGATTAGATCTATTGTTTATAGGATCAGTATGAGTAATACTTGACTCAGTGGCATCTAGGAACATTGCCCTAAAGGTTGGAAGTTCAAATTCACCCAACAGTATTGCAGAAGGCCTGGCTATGCCCTATACAAATCACTGCCATGACACACATGGGAGGCACAGGGAGCTATTTGGGTAAGGGGTCACACTCACAGTAGCCGCCACCTGGACTCAGCAGACCTTGGAGGGCTCTGGGTAGGACACCAGATACAGATGGAGAAAGAGAGAGATTTAAAAAAAAACCCAACTCCTGGTATCTCCGTATGTGTGGAGGGTAGAACTATGGGGTTTCTTGGCTGTGATCGTTGTGAAGGCAAAATTGCAAGCCTTTCTCCTGGAGCATCGCTGGATAGGTTCAAACCACCAACCTTGATGTGGGCAAACCCAACCCACTGCCGTTGAGTCCATGAAGACTTGCAGGATCCCTCCCACAAGTCTCCGAGACCATAATTTTTTACAAGAGGAGACTGCCCATCTTTCACCCACAGAGTGCCTGGTGGGTTCAAACTGGCAGCCTTTCCAGGAGCAGCTCAACAGGCCTCTTACTTCCAGGAGCAGCTCAACAGGCCTCTTACTACTGCTCCATGTTGCGCCACCTAGGGGCCAAAGAGGGAAATGGAGAGAGGAAAGACAGAAGAGGCGGAATAAAAAAAAAATAGATGAGAGAGAGGACAAAGATGCAGGAGGCCACACACCCCCAGACACTGTCCTCGTGGTGTCCAGGGATCTCTGATGCTGGTCCGCCACTCTCTTCTCCATATACTTGTGCTCCTCACATAGCCCAGCTTCTGACCTCACCTCTGCTCTGATATCCCCCTGTCCCAGCCTCTCACGGGGCCTCACAATGGTCCATCCCTCCTGAGGGATGCTCCAGCACCTCCCATTGAGCATGCATCCAACAGAGCTCAGCTGTGGGGCTCCACACTGATCATCTCCATAAGCCAGAGACCCAAGGGCCAAAGTGCCTCTCCCTCCTCCCCAGCCAGTCTTCTTTACTGTTGTTGTTGTTGTTGTTGTTGTGTGCCATCGAGTTGCTTGCGATTCATAGTGACCCTATGTACGACAGCTCTGAACCCTGCTCAACCCCAAGCCAGTCTTCTCACCTCTGACACACTTACCCCCATTACCTCAATCACTGGGTCAGTTCATCTCATCGAGGGTCTTCCTCTCTTGCACTGTCCCTCCACCCTCTCAAGCATGGTGTCCCTGTACAAGGACTGGTCCCTCCTTACAACTTGCCCAAAGTATGTCAAATGGAGCTTTAGAATCATCGCCTCCAAGGAACAGCCTGGTTTTGTCCTCTCTAGGATTAACCTGCTTGTGCTCCTAGCAGTCCATGTTATATTCAATACTCCTCTCCAGCATTTGCTCCCTCTAATTCACCTCTCCTTCTCGGCTTGAACTCAACCACAACCCCCTCCCTGGATTCCCCATCCAACGTGGGCCTCAGGTCACTTCACACATGCAGGTCTGACTGCCATCTTCACCCATGGTGGCTCCCCATCACCTTCAGAATCAAGTCCAGCCTTGACTCTGACACCCCAAATCCATCCTGCTGCCCCACTCACCAAGCCCAGATGACCCCAAAACCAGCTTCGTTTGGAGGGCTGCGGGAAACATCGGAGGCGGCAACAGTTGTCATAGAAAGCATAGATGGAGGCCAGGCCCCGGGCCAGGAGCCAGGTGGCCCCGGCTAGCAACAGGAGCAGCCAGGGGGACGCTGTGCTAGGCCAGAGTCCCAGCCATGACAGGTTCAGCAGTGACATCCTGCAGACAGAGGAGAAGGAGCACTAATGGTGAGTGCAGATGCCAGATGGGTCAGGAAGTAGAGGCATAGATCAAAGGGTTACACTTCACTGACAGCTTAAGGGGTAGAGATGGGTAAACACAGGGCCCAGGAGAGTAGGGAGACCCAGGAGAGAAGTGAAGAGACTGAGAGAAAGCGGCAGTTGGAATCCAGGAAGTCCCAGCCCCAGCCAGCAGCAAGTGGCAGGCTGCCAGGATCACCAGTTACCCGGTAACCACTCATTCCCAGGGACAGGTCTCTGCCTAGAGCTAGCTCGCCCTTGGGTAGCACAGCCTCACGCACCCTAGACCAGGGCCCTCCCAATCCCACTACCCCCAGCCAGGCACCTCTTCTCCAGAGAGCTTTGTCTCCTTACAAGCTCCTCACCTCTCCCTGCTGAGACGACTTTGTCTCTGGCCTAACCCTGGGCTGGCCAAGGCCAAGGATAAAACATGATAACCAATCCCAGCAGGCCTGGTGGCCTCCTCCCAGTTGGCAGAGACCCAAGACACAAAGAAAGGAACCCGTTCAAGACCACACACGTGGGAACTGAAGTTGTAAGATCCAGAATGTGCTGCCTCAAGAATCTCCTGACTCGGGGCCAAAGGTTACCCAGGTTTACAACCACTGCCATTTTCCAAGCCCAGGAAGCGCCAGATGAAAGCTAGAACTTGAGGCTTGAAGGGCCAGTGTTTAGAACCAAGGCAAACTTCTCCCCCAAGACTCTGATGGGCTCTTCTCCAGATGTGGGTCACAGAGGATCATGCACCCATTTCCTAGATCAGGAGACTTGAAGACCAGAAGATATTGGCCCAGTGCCCCAATCCCTAAACTGGCAGGAATCCATCTCTGACTTCTGCCAACTCAGGAGGTGGTAGAAACAAATGTTTCAGACTCACATGGAATTTTTGAGGTTAACTTCGGGGAGATAGGGCCCAGGTGGGACAGGAAACCTGTAGGCTGTGCAGGAGAGGAGGAAGGAGGTTCCAGAGGATAAGCAGAGTGGAGTACCAGGAATCAAGCCTTTCTGCCCATGCTGCTCCTTCTCTGGGCCTCAGTCTTCCCATCTGGAACATGGTGCATTATGTGGGGATCTTAGAAGGATGAGGGGACAAATCTTATCCAGATGCAGACTTGTTCTGTGGGTTCAGCACCCTGAGGTCTTTGGGCGATCAGACTCTAGAATGAGAGTGAATTTGAAAACTGGTGGCTAAACGAGAGAATCAGGGCCCATATTCCTGCAACAGGATGTGATGGGTACCCTAAAGCTACTTCACCCCCAAATTTCTTCCAGTTCTGCTTGCTCCAGCTCCAAGTGGTGGCTATTCCTTGAGCCCCTGCATTGCGTCTTTCTCTGCTGCAGTGCGTCGACTTGCTGCTAAAAGCACCCAGAGAAGAGCAGAGGACAAGGTCAGGGTTTTTCAAACCAGGGCAGTGGCTGAGAGATAGAGATGACCTGACTGATCTGGGAAAGGAGCAGGAGAAAAGATGACAGAGGTTCAGGGAGATCCAGTAGCAACATGAGTTACTTAAACATGACAGCGCCCATATGCAGGTAGTGTGAGCACCAGTAGGTGATCATTAAATATCTGGAAAAGAAGGGAATTTTTTTGCGAGCTCTCAGGACTGGACACTCAAAATATCATCCTCAAATAACCAGCAGCAGCCTTTAACAGCAGTCTCTGTTACAAATGCAGGGTCTGGACACAGCCTCAGACCCACAATGCTGCATCCTAGATGGTTGCAATGGGGCAAACAGCTTGTGCTTAACTGGTAACCAGACTGTAGTTTGAATCCACCCAGAGTTCTGAGGAAGAAAGTCCTGGCAAACGGCTCCCTTAAAAAATCCCAGCCAAGGAAACTATGGAGCCAGTGTGTGTGTGTAAATTATTGTATTGGATAGGCATATGTTCTGCTTTGTACACTTTCCACCAAAGAAAATAGAGAGGGGTTGGGTGTGGTTTTTTTTTTTATAAAGAGCAATAATGCACTGATTACACAATGTATCATATATGAGCCTTGACAATATTATGCTGCGTGAAAGAAGCCAGGCACACAAAGCCACTCAGTGCATATTTCCATTTATATGAAATATCCAGAATAGGCAAATCCATTTAGACAAAAAGATCAGTGGTTGCCAGAGAGTGGGGAGGGAGGAAGGTATACGACTTCTTTCTGGATATGTTCTGGAATTGTAGAGCAGTGATAATTGGACAACATCACGATGATGATGTTGTTGTTGTTGTTGTTGTTGTTGTTGTTGTTGTTGTGTGCCATCAAGTCAACTACAACTCATAGTAACTCTATGTATAATAGCTCCGAACCCTGCCCTATCCTGAGCCAGTCTCATTGTCTCCAAAACACTTAACTCTGTTACCCGTGTTACTGTGTCAATTCATCTCATCTGGGTCCTCCTCTCCTGTGCTGTCCCTCCACCCTTCCAAGTATGATGTTCTTCTCCAAGAACTCGCCCTTCCTGTCAACATGCCCAGGTATGTGAGATAGAGCTTCAAAATCCTTGCCTCCAAGGAGCACCCTCTCCAGGACAGACCTGTTTGTTCTCTTGACAGTCCATGATATGTTCAATACTCTTCTCCAGCACTACAACTCAAAGGCATCAATTCTTCGGTCACCCTTAGTTACTGTCCAACTCTCTGATGCATAGCAAGCAATTGCAAAGCCCAGGGCCTGGATCAGGAGCACCTTAGTCTCTAGATTGACATCGTTGCTTTTCAGCACTCTGGAGAGGTCAATGACAACAGATTTTCCCAATGCAATTCATCTTTTGATTTCCTGACTGATCATGTTAAGAGTGTTGATTGTGGAACGGAGCAAGCTGAAATTGCTAATAATCTCAATCTCTTCTCCATCTGTCATTGTGCTGCCAATTTGCCCAGTGGTGAGAATCTTTGCTTTCTTGATGTTGAGCTTCAATCCATATCGAAGACTACTGTTCTTGACCTTCTGAAGCAAACACTTCAGGTCTTCTTCAGTTTCAGCAATCTAGGTTGTGTCATCTGCATAATGAAGATGCGTCTTCCTACAATCTTGATGCCACATTCCTCATCACAAGAGCCCAAGCTCACAGATGATCTGTTCTGTGTACAGATTGAAGAGGTTACTGAAAACCACTAAATAGAATCACTTTAAAATAGTGAATAGTGTGTTTTATGGTGCTTATCTCAATTTTTTTAATGACAAAAAGAAATTTGATAATTTTTAATAGGTCTACTCCATGGGGTCGCCATGAGTCAAAACTGACTCAACAGGATCAGTTTTGATCTGTCCCCATGAAGAGGGGACCTTGACTTCCTCTCTCTTTGGACTTAGGACTGGCCTGGAACTGTTCAGCAAAGGATTTAGTGGAAACAATATCTCCTTAGTTGTGAGCAGATTCTATTTCATCTCCCTTGCAACATTTCCTCTTTGAGCCACTGTTTCTCATGACCCAAATACTACAGAGAGATTTCATGACGTACTCTGGTCAGTAAGCTCCACTGATCTCCCAGTTAGTATCACCTGCCACTCAAGTGATTGATGGCCCAGCTAGTGTCACCTGCTAGCCAGGTGGAAAGGGCAGTCATGGTTTGAATGTACGAGCTCACTTGAGCCTCCGTGTGACTGCAGTCCAGGCAACATCTTTTGGGGCAGAAGAACCATTAGCTGAGCCCAAAACAACCATCCAAATCCAATACGTGTATGAGTTCATCAAAGATAATAAGATACATCACAACAAGATAAAGGTAAACAACTCAATTGCAAACTAGGCACAGGTTATGAACAGACACTTCACCAAAGAAGACATTCAGATGGTGAACAAACACATGAAGAAATGTTCAAAATCCCTGGCTCTAAGAGAGATGCAAATCAAAACAACTATGAGATATCTTCTCGCCCCAGTAAGATTAGCAAAGTTTGACAGAACAGCAAACAACAAATGCTGGTGAGGTTGTGGAGAAATTGGAACTCTTAATCACTGTTGGTGGGAGTATAAAACGGTGCAACAACTATGGAAGGCAATGTGGTGCTTTCTCAAAAAGTTGGAAATAGAAATACCATTTGATCCACATATTCCACTACTGGTAATATACACTAGAGAAACCAACTGCCACCCAAGTAGATATATGCACACCTATGTTCATTGCCGCTTTGTTCACAGCAGCAAAGAGTTGGAAACAATCCAAGTACCCATCAACAAACAAATGGATAGAGAAACTCTGGTATATTCACACAGTTAATACTGTGTTACAGTGAAAAACAAGGAACTCATGAACTATTATAAAAATGGGTGCCTCTGGAGGACATTATGCTGAGTGAAATATTTCAGTCACAAAGGGACAAACACTGCATAATGCCACTCTTATAAAACAGGACTGACATCGGGGTTACGGGGGAATCTAAGAAGAGAGGTTTAAATAATTGAAACAGATGAGGGAGAGAACTGTTTGAAAGGAATATATGATTAGGTGTTATTTTCATGACAAGAGTCCAGAATGAGAGCTTCATGGGGGAGTAGACTTGGTGGAATTGTATAATAATGAAAGTTTGGGGGTTTTTTTTCATTTTTTAAAGAGAAAAACCAACTGAGGGGAGGGGTGGTCAGGGAGAAAATATGCAACAATGAATGAATGGAAATCCAAAGTCTCTATAAATTTTCATTAAAATAAAAAAAAAA